GTTACACCCCCTCAAAGTTGCAAAATTTGCCAGGTTGCCACTCGACATGCCTATCTTTGCAGACTTGTCTTTAGCTCGTTTTAAATAAAATTTGATTTTTTTTTGAACATTACATTTGTTATATCCTGATCTTTTGAATGCATTATTATTTTTTTAATTTTATTAAAAAACCACATAAAATATGTAAAGTAAGGCGAGAAAGCATACAGGTTGAACAGGTGACACGAAGCAACTCACAGAAACACTGTAAATGTCCACCCGAAATTGAAAACTTTAAAAATTCTTGTTATCAGGTTACAGTTCTTTCATTTTATATTTAGTACTGCAGTTTTGCAAAGCATCAAAAACTTTAGCGTTTAACCGGCAAATATTTAAGAGTTGAAAATAGGTACGGAGTGATATGTTCTATAAAAATTCCAAAGTTGTTAAAAAAATTTTTTTGTTTAGAATATTTTTTTAATTGCTGATTAGCGACAAGTGTTTTTGTACAATTGGAACGTTCCAACAATCACCAAATCTTTTCTTTTTTAAGGTAGAAAAATCTTCTAAATGCAGTAAATTGAAAGTCATTTTTTTAATAAAATATGAATAGCTTTTGTTATCATACGTAGACATTTCCTACAGTTCTTAACTTTTACCTGTAATTTTTTGCTTATAAGTGCTTTATAAAGATTGACATTTAAACAAGCAGCACTTGTTCTGTTTATTAGAAGAAAAGTAATGCAAATACATATGGTAGCAATTATCTGTTAAAAAACTATAACCACTAGACGTAATTGCACATTCTTTTTTAACGGTATAAACTATGCTGAACTGAATTAAAGAATGAGGTGACCAAAGTGGAACATCATATAATTCTCGTATAACATTCATTTATGGTAAATAATCACTTTTAAAACTACTGTTTAGGTTGAACAGTATCGCAAATATTTGCCGATACATAACCACAAAAAGTTTAGATAACTGAACATCTGCAAGTTTTGAGCAAACCAACAACATTTGTCAGTTTATTTCCTTATTATAATATAGATTTAATACCATATATTTGGCTATAAAATTTAGCACATTAAGATTGAACGGTACTGCGGTACAGTCTCTACTGTTTTCTGGATTTACCGTTTTCGATTGTTTTCAGAATTTTTTAGTTGGAACTGTTAATCTGTTTGCTTAATTTATTTTTGATCAAGAATTGTAGAACTGTTCATGATAAAAATTCAAGTTTACAAATGTTTTCCATAAAACAGCTTCTCGTTCTTTTTTTTTTAGCGTAGCTCAATTAATTAACTGAAATGTTATATATTAGATTGAGAACAAAATTTTAAAAAAGCTGTTTGCTGTTTTTTTTTTTGTTTTTTCTTAATTCAAGACACTTTTTTTTTGCAGTCATAACCGAAAAAATTTAGTGACAGTATAAAAATAGAAATCAAGAAAACAATTAAACAAAACGAGTGTTTTTTGAAATTGTATGCTGATTTTTAATCTTATGAACCAAAATGCTTTAGTGCTGTTTGAAAAAAAGAAAAGTAAAAGAATGAGATAAAGCAGAATCAGAAAATATTTTTTAGTTCTTAAACAAAGCAGTGATACCAAATAGTTGTTATGCCCTAATTCTTATCAGTAGAC